CTAAGATTTTCAGAAACTTTTATGAAGTTCCTAGAACTTCAGAGCACATCACAGGTGTTAAGCAAACTTGAGAAATATAGAAACCTTAAGGGGTATTGTGCAACTAAAAAACAAAAAATCTAAGCACCTCAGAAAAGCTAAATCTAGAGATCTTCGGGGAATTTCAGATCTTAAGAGCTGCCCATGACTTTAGTTCAGACTTTTTAGAGCAGTTTAAATATCTACAATCGTAAATTTTGGAAAATTTAGAACCCTTAAGATGTTCCGAGAATTTCAGGGAAGTACAGAGACCGTCAGATAATTTATGAAAACTTCATAAATATTTCAGGAATTTCACAGAAGTCCAAAGAATTTCAAGGAATCTTCAATAGAATTGAGAGCTTTAGGGAAGCTTCGAGAACATCAAAACAGATCAGAAAATCAAAGGGCAGTTAAAATAATTTAAAGAAAATTGTAGAAACCTTAAAGAAGTTCCGGAAACTTCAACAAAGCTCCGATAGAACTTCTGGATCGTGATAAAAATTACATGAACATCCGGAAAACGTGAGAGTATTTTAAGGGTGTTATTTCATGGAAATATCAAGAACTTTAAAAAATTCAAAAGTTTAGCTAAGTTGATTAGAGAATATCAACGAAGTTCCTTTAATTAAAAAAAAAATGCGCAACTTTTAGCGATAAATATCTTCATGAAATTCCAGAGAACTTAGAATTTAGATAGTTTCATGATATTCAGCGAAGTTCCGAGTACTTCGAGGACGATCAAATAACTTCAGAATAATCCCATTAACTTAAGCAACTTTGCAGCGACTTACAAGTAATTCGGTGGAATTATGGAGTATTCCAAGAATTCTATGATTGACCTTAAAACGTCAGGGAATTTTAAATATATAATACCCAAGTAACAATTAAGGTTTTATGAGGGTTCTGGAGACCAGGATTTAGACTTGTAGCATGCTTTAAAACCTCGATAAAACATGGAATGTTACTTGGGTATATATCAGAAAATTTACCGGACAAACAAATTTAGAGAACTTCAGGAGGCGCATAGTTCAGGGAAAAATAAGTGAGCGTTTTTAATGGTTAGAATACTTAAGGAAAATTGTCCAAACTTCAAAGCAAATCAATTAATTTCAGTAAATTTGCAGGTTGTTAAAAATACTGATAAATTCAGGGCAACCTAGAGAACTTTAAATAAAATCGTTTAGGCAGTTTTAATAACACCCGGAAAGTCTCGACTATTGAAGAAGTTTTAAATTAGTGTCGATAATTTAATGGAAGCTTCATGAACTTCAGAAAAATGAAAATTGCGGAAGCACAAAAGTTCCAGAAATTTAGAAAAACTTCGAAAACTTCACAGAAGGACAGTGTTATTCAGAAACATTTCGAGAACTTCATAGGAAAAATTTGGGAAGTTCTCAGAATAGTCCATTTCATATACAACGGAAATTTCGAGTAGGCTATCCTCCGAATTCAATTTTCTTTTAGTTTTTATCGGAATTACCTTGAAATTCTCCACAATAAGACACTCTTTGGAAAGATTATCAGAATATTCATTGAATTCATCTCAGATTTCCTTTTGAATCTCACTCCGTCCCTTGGAATTCTTTTCACATTGAAAGTCTCATAAGAATTCATTGGTATTTCTAATCACAATTTCCTTAGATTTCTTCTCATAATTTGTTTGGAAAACTCTCCTGAATTTGTTTTCCGAATTCCTTTGAAGATGTCCTGGAGTTATTCTCAGATTTAATTGTAATCCTTCTTTTAGTATTTTCAAACAAATTCCAAGGACTTATGCTCCGAATTTGTTTTCTCCCACACACTTTATGAAATCATTCTCAGAATGCCCTTGGAATTTTCCTTTGAAGTTCACAGTAGTTGTGCGCCTCAGAAATTCCTAAGAGTTTTCAATAAAATTCATTTTTAATTCATTTCAGGGTAGCTTTTAAGTCACTATTTTTTCAACTATCAGTCACTATTTAGTCACTTATTTCTTCAGCATGATCACTAAAATCACTATTTTTGTAAAAACTCCTGCATACATTTTTTTACGCCAATCGGTTCAGTAGTTTCCGAGTCTATAAGGGCCAGGCAGACAGACTGAAATTCATTTTTATATATAGAGGAAATGGATGTAATGTCGGCCTAAATGCCCCTAATTTGGGCCCATACATAAGCCAACATTAGAGCCATTTCCCCTCTACAGCCATTCCATAGCAAAACGATATAGTGGTTCTCAGAATTTCGTAACAATTGGTAGTTTTTTTCCTTATCGAAAAATATTAGACCCGCTTTTTTTTTCTCATTAGGGTGACCATTTCCATGTTAGGTTTTTTAGAAATTTTTAGTCTATGATCAGAAGTTGAAATAAATAAGTAATGAAACCATGTTACATTAATACATGTATCAATGGAGACGCAGGGTAATCTAGTCTTATTGGAGTAATGAGCGAAATATCTAAACATGATAATTTCAAAAAACCGTAACTCAAAACGAAGAAAAATACATCACCGATTTTTTTATATGTTGTGTAGAAAAGCCTAAATTTTCAAAGAAAATGCTACGCCCATTGTCTACAAACCATGAAAATTATAAAAAAACAAATACAATCTAAGTTCTTCTACACTAAACTCAAATTTAATTTTTTTTTAATATTTTTTTCTGAAAAGTATGTTTAAGAACCTTTCATATCATATTCTGATTATTCAAATCGGCCCATTAATTTTTGTAGAAAATAGAAAAAAATAGTTTTTTTTTTGACTACCTTAATGAAAAAAAAATACGGGTCTAATATTTTTCGATAAGGAACAAAAATAACAATTGTTACGAAATTCCGAGAACCACTATATCGTTTTGCTATGGAATGGCTGTATATATATTGTACACTGAAGTATTTTTTTACACGGTTTTTCGCGATTTACAAGGTTAATTTTTTTTACGATTTCTCGACAACGATACAACCTATCGACTTGATTCCAATCACATTATCCGTTTCAAGCTATAGGTAATCATGGCATACTTTAAAAAAATCACAATTTTTGGTGTAAATTCAGAATTTTTTAAAATATGTCTATATGGACCATAGCATGCTATAATTACAAATGGCATCAAAATTCGATTTTTTAAAAACATTTAAGCATGTGAAAAATCAAAATCTTGTAGGTTTTTTTTACACGGTGCATATCCCCCGTGTAAAAAAAGATCTGAGTGTATATACATTTAAAATTTGTTGGCGCGTAAGTCAATCTAGTGATTACGTATAATACATATATGTAATACGAATAGCATGGGCAACTTTCTCTAAAAAACCATAGTTTTATACTATTTTACAGAGAATGGCATCACTTTTGTAGTACGTACATACGTCATTTATGCAAACAGCAGTTTCCTCTCATGACTAACAACACAAAGATTTTGAACGTCAATAACTCAGCTGCCCCAACAATTTTATCTGTTTAATTTAAGACCATCATTTTTCAAAATTTCACTATTGAAAATTGCACGGATGTGCAACTGTTGCTATGATAATTAAAATTATCACCTATTGTCTGCGAAAAGCGATTTCCCTAACACAGATTTCAAAGTTGAATTCCATCCGGTCTCACCAAACGGTGTTTATTCAATCACCACGTGATGAGTGGTGGTGTTCTCCAGTACACAACGAAAGGCTGCCTGCAAGCAGCGAGCTGCAGCCCACATGAGCATCCATAGGAGGAAGAAGCCGCACCGCTATTGATCGGAATCAGTAGCTCTTCGTGAGCCGCTGTGAGCCATCTATGTCAAGCGCGTCATACTAAAAAGTATAAACAGAGAGAACCCCGCTCAAATTCCTATTCTTACACAAAACACAAGCTCCTGCTACAGTTAACAAATAAGATTTATTATTTAAGACCACGTAGTCCTGCGTCACCATTGCGTACAACCACATATGGCTATTCCTTGTAGTATTTTTTTCTTCATAAAATACCTATCATGCTATTATGTCTTGTCCTAATAATGATCTAATTTTGCTTCTTTTTCCTGACTGGAAATGTCTTAAACCTAGTCCAGTGTTTCAAAAATTTAAACAGTGTCTCCAAATGTCTAATCTTGAAAATCACACGCAATCCATTTCTTTACCATTTTACCGCTACCTTCAGAACCACCCAAGGTCCATCAAAAGGCCATCTGATCAACTTCTGATCCCCTTTAGCTCCGTTTAAATTGTAGCAACCCATCGCACGTATCTCATAAAACCCTTGTAACTGCCGTCCTCGTTTGGCGGCGATAAACGTTTCCGATCTGATCTGAATACCAACTAGCCTTCTCGAAACCACACACGAAACCAGTTGCATCGCTTTGCCCCGCCAAGTCGAATTAGAATTCCCAGCGGATCCATTAAGCCCCGCGTACAACGTCCAGAGTTACAACCTGCGTGTAATCCGTTGCATTAATTTTATGACCTTTCCTCAGCGCTCGTTCGGGCTACCTGTTTACACGCATCTCAACCGCCGCACCGGGGCCGACCGAGTTCAAGTTTGCTCATCCCGTTCGCTGTCGATGAAGCTTGATCTGAAACTGAAACACAACTGATTGACAACCGAAACTAGGCCCTCTCGCTGATGGGTCGTCCAACTTTTCCAGCAATTATTTGTCTTATGTTGGCTTGCGTGTTTATATTTATTTAACTTGGCTTCGTTCCCGGGAGGGAACGAGTTTATCCCGGCTCTGGCAGATGTCACTGCTTGGTGATGCGCCTGCAGGAATGTGGAAGCGCAAAGTTGGTAACGGTTGGCTGCGGTTTTGAAACTGGAATGCTGCCTTACCACCGTAGGCTACTCGGGTAAGATGGTCACGAGACACGAGTGGAGTAAAATGGGTTCGATTATTTACTCGCAGCTTGCTTCTTTATCCAAGGCCACGGATGCTTTCGGTTCGGCTTAGCCGGTATGGACAATTATTACAAAGTCTAGATGGAATCTAAATCTCGAGTTACTTTAGTTGTGTTTTATTGGTAACATTTACAATCTATTTAGAACATCCTTCAGCACTAAATAGTATGTATATGACAAGTTGACCACCTGAAAGATCAATGAGAATTATCCACTTCGTTAGTCCACTACTACAAAACTTCAAACGCACCTTTCCGAACTTTTCAATCCCTACGACGAAAAACTTGGCCGCAGTGATCCCTGTTTCCCGCTGCGAACGCTGTATTATCAAACGATAATATCGCTGCAGCTCTGCGGAATCCTCGTACCACGTTAGTTCGTAGACGGCTTGGCCTACTGCCTGTGCCTCGGCCGTCAGCTGCGAGCCCAGATACGCATAACCGTAGGTCTCGATCAAAGACAGCAAGAACACAACCATCACATTGAGTAGGTTGAAGTTTATGTTCTGAAACGCAGCCTACTAGTTCACACCGTTATACAAAAAACAACGTCTAAGCAACTTACCGCTGAGACGTAGAACATGGTCAAACACCAGAACAAGATGCAGACTACGAATTGTATCGCTACCGGAATACTTAGGATGTTTTCCACCAGATCAGTTATCCTGAAAATCGATCGCTGCCTAATTAGATTTTGATTTCGAAAACAAAAGCGACCGAACATACTGGAATGCTTTTTCGTGTAGCTGAACGATTTTCTCGATGCTCGCTAGCTTGACCTCCTTGTGCTCTGCTGCTTGGTCCTGTTGCTGAGGTGTAGTAAATTGTGCCAATTTTCGGACACGAATCGCCACCAACCGGTAGGTTAATGAGCTGTATTTGATCATCATGAGCAGTGTGGTAACCTTGATCACCGACATGTACGCACAAACGTAGTAGGCTGGCAGCGAGAGCACCACGAAGAGGTGGTAATGTGCGAAATTTGTACGGATGTTCAGTCCGTAAAATCTAGCAAAGAGAAGGATGAAAAACGAAACGATCAATGTCAGTCGGTAGTTTTCGAAAACGCTGACTGGTGTAGTTTCGTGTTTTACTCTTGTTCCATGGGAAGTTCGAACTCTAGCTGTTCCGACTCATTACTATCGGTGGTGGTGTTGGTGCTGAAGTATCGTACATAGCTGGTGGCCATCGCCGGAATGCAGAAAACGAGCGGTCCGAAGCAGCAATAGATGAAGTAAAATTTGGTGAATTGCTTCATTTTTGAATTTTGCTTACGTATCAGATCGTAGCATTCCTTGGATTGGTCGCCGTCGTGCGTTACTGTGGGGATTTGGAATCATTTGATTGATATTTTTAAAATGCTCTCGAAAGTTACCTTGTCTGATGAATTCACTTAAAAGATGCATCATTCGCGTGAATTGAGGCAATTTCAGAACCAAAGCAGCAAATACGATAATAAGATTTCCCTCGAACAGTAGCTCTGAAAGTCCTTTGGTGATGGCGTCGAACCTGGTGCTTCCGAACCCGAGGACGGATTTTGAGAATACGATTACGAATGTTGCCCAACCGAACGCGAGATAAAAACGGTACATGCGCCCTTTGGGGCCTACTATTCCTATCAGCTTCATCAAGCGAAGTTGAAAGGACATGATCTGCAGCTCCGGTGGCAAACTTTGATGGAGAGATGGTTCCATGGCGAAAATCCCACTCAAAATGACACGGTACTGTCGGTCAGGAATGACTGTGAACGATTGATCACGGGAACCAATTGTCTTCGGTATTGTAGCAGTGTACAAGAATAAAAAAAGGTAATCGCCATCAATAATGCTAGTAAATAATGCTTAGCATGATACAGGGTATTTTTTTTTCGCTTTTGTGTAGTGTTTCCAGATGGCGAGTGGAACTCAGCATGCGGTGCGTACTCAGCAAAATTTGTCCAACATTATTGAAATTATGCCTGCATTAATAAAACTATATATTTATGAATGGCATTTCAAAAAATTTAAGTTTTATGTTCGTTTTCGTATGATAATGTTCAGTTAGAATGCATTAATTTTTCAACGAAAAAATGCATTAATTTAAATTATTTTTTATTTCTATTCGTGTGTAATTGTAAAATATTTTAAACTTTTTAGTTGATTAAGAGAAAAATTACGTTTACCAACACACACAATGCAACATTTAGATAGTTTCAAAGCAACATGGAATCGGTTTGAAATGTTGTTTTTATGTTGACAGCTATGCTGGTTAACCTGCGGGATAATCTACCCACATGACAGCTCGTGTTTTTAGTACAATACGACGAATGAAGTGGATGGTGAGGTTTTGACAGAACAGGCAACAGCATGCCATGGAAAATTTACGTAGAACCGTTCATATGTATATATTCAAGCAGTGATGATGATGGTCACACCTCTTACCCCTACAAAGGTTTGAGATGAACGATTTATCTTTAAGATAATTATTACAAGCAATCAAGAGTTAATGAACAATCAACAAAGCATCCTATTACACTAGCAACCCCGCAATCTGATCCTATCATAATTTTTAGCAATGTCAGGAATGCTCACGAACCACCAACATTTGCCAGAAAACTTACTACTAACTCAAGGTATCTTCCAAATAAGCTTCAAAATTGCATTTTTTTTTTATCAAATGTTTATTTATTTTATCAAATAGTCCTTTGTGGACTACTATTTTTTTTAATTAATCTACTATTAAATCAAATATTAAAAATCCATCATCACCATCGAGGTGAACAGAAATAGTTTTTGCAGTGCTGCAATAATTATTAAAAAAAAAGTCGTAATGACAGCTATCCATATACAATAATCCGTTAGAGATAACTTCGTCAAAATACATAATTTGTCAATTCATAAAAAAAATCACTGGATAACCGTTCAAAAGACAGTTTTAACGTGTGAAATGCAATGTCTCTTAAATTCTGCTAATGTTGTTGAACGTTTAATGTGTCTAGGCATCGATTTGAAAACATTTATTCCATTGTAATAAATATAATGAATTATGTGAAGCACAAGTCAAGAAATGTCGTGTTCTTATTTCATCCGCGTTTCTAGAATTATATCTATGATAGTCACTTCCTCTTTCAATTCGATCACACAAATATCGAGGCAGCAAACCGTTAACTACTTTAAAAATGAACACCATAGTTAAATATACAATTCTTTGCTTCACCGACAACCATTGTAAGGCGGCTAGCATCAAAGTTGAGGATGATGAATCTATTACATCTCAAAATCAAACGCATTATTTTATTCTGCAAGCGCTGTAATCTCGATATTTGTGTTGCATTGGCCAGAAATAAAATGGAAGGGCAAAAGTCTAGATGAGGAGAGATGATTGATTTGTATAGCTGTATTTTACTGGACATAGTTAAATCGTTTTTCAGGCGACATAGAATTCCATACTTCTTGGTAATTTTCTTGACGACATTGTCAATGTGAGAGGTGAACTTAAGTGTGTCATCAATAATCACGCTAAGATATTTAATCTCCCGAACGCGATCAATAGTCTCATCATCAATTACAACAGAGACGCTCTCATTTAATCGATTCCGCGAAATTACCATAAATGTAGTTTTACTTGTATTCAGTTTCAACTGCTTTTACTTCAATCATCTACTTAGAGAACGCAAATCTTCATTCAAGTGTAAAACGGCATCATCTAAATCCTTAGCTGCAATGAATAACACAGTATCATCTGCAAAAAGATTAATGTCGCAAGATCGTTAAACACGTCGCAAGTCATTAATATACATAATAAATAACAGAGGCCCTAATACACTTCCCTGGGGCACTCCAAGGTTATTCCCCACGGGACAAATAGCTTTCAAGTGGTGGGTTGTTTATCAGCCATCCTTGGTGCAATTTCATGTTATGTCTTGCAATCGCACCAAGGTCTAAAATTATAATTCTTTTTAATAACTCAGCTATCCCGTCTCAATGTGACATGTTGAAACCTTGTAAATTTTTACTAATTGATTGCAGTAAAAATCCTAAAAAATCCAAGCACAAGAAACTTTAGTTCTGGTTTAGGTCCATATCTTAAAAGTGATGTTGATGATGGTCTATGCCTGGCAGGATTGAGCCTGTACTAATAAAGTAATTAACAAAAAAATATGCCCGGCAATTTGAATAACTTTGTAACTTTTGGAACCTTGTTCATGTCACAGAATCTATAAAACTTTTCCATTCCTTACCTCGGAATTTTCTTCAGCGTTCCATAAAAGTTTACTTCAGTGTATTCTTGAAATTCTTATCATAACTATCGAGGACATATTCTCAGGATTGTCCTGCTCTTCGAATTCACCCGAGGTTTCCGGAAGTATTGTCCTAAAGAGATCTTGAAATTCACACCAGGATTCCATGGGATTGTTTTTCAGAATTCTCTTGAAATTCTTCTTAAAATCCATTGAGATTATATCTTAAAATTTCCTTTAAATTATTCTGAGAATTCGATTCCTTTAGAATTATTCTCAAAATTCTCTTGTAAATATTCTTCTGAATCCTTCTGGAATGCTACTCAGAATTGTTTAGCAATTTTCTCAAAAATTTCTTTGAAATGCTATACATTTCATTGGAAATCTCATCACAATCGCCGTAATAGTCTCTTCAGAACTACATTGGAATTTACGTTTATGTTTCCTTAAAATGCTGCTTACAAATGGTTTTACTTTAAAACATTACCATTCACTTCTCCTTCAGTTTTTTTTTTAGAATATAAATATCTTAAAATTTAGTTCAAGCAATGTTTTTTTTTCATCGCAGTGAAAATCAAGAAAAAGCATTTGTAACGTATTTTTTCCTACAAAATCAAATATCTCTGAGTGTTTCATAATTTTTCTTAAAACCACATTAAAACATCTTTCATTTGAAGGGTCAATCGTAAAAATTGGTCTAGAGGTTCAGAAGTTATGAATTTTAGGCATTTTTGAAAAAAAAAATAGATTTATCGGACCACCCTAACACGGAAATGATCACCTTAATGGCGGAATAAAAAAGTACGAGTCTAATATTTTTTGATAAGGAAGAACTATACAAATTTTCATGAAATTCTTATACTCACTATAACATTCTTTTCTATGGAATTGCTGCTTTTACAAATTTTTCGGTCAGAGATTCGAATATTGTCCCATGGATCTTATTTTGTTTTCCAAATACATTTCCAAGTTCAAATTATCATTTGGTCCAATAACCCGTTGGGCCTTTCAAAAAAATACTTGTAATCAAGAGAAATTTCAAAATTCTGAGGCTCTTAGAAAATGTCGGTTTTATGTATATTAATTTATATAACCTTGGAAAAAAAATTCCTTTTAGGAATACCTACTCCAAAAAGCTCAACGATTGCATAAACTTGTTAAACTTTGTGCAATGATTATTTAAAATTCATAATTTTTAAATTTCCATCAAGTCGTCACTCAATGCACAGTGGTCCTGAATGCAGATTTAGCTGGATATCATTTTGAGTCGGAAATTGAAACTTTAGACTAAAAGTCTCTTCTACAAAGTTGTTCCTTATAGCTAGGCCCTTATTTTTATGACAATGAATTCTAGGGTGGTGGAAAAGTGCATATTTTTAGTACAAAAACGTCAATAACTCTTGATCGGCGAAAGATATTGACAAGCTTTCTGCAGCAAAAATTTGCGCCTTCTAAAGATCTAAAAGTTATTTGCAGACATCTTTGCTGAGAAATTTGAAATAATAAAACTAGAGCAAAATAACTGTTTTTTAGCGCCACCCTAACTCAATTCATGAAAATATCTCTAAATCGGCCAAGTTGCTTGAAATTAGCTCAGCTATAACGTTGCCGAAGAATGTATACCTAAATTTATTCAAACAAAAAAGTGATTTAGATTTTAATGATAATAAGAACCACCCTAGAATTCATTGTTATCAAAATGAGGGCCTCACTATAAGGAACAACTTTGTAGTTAAGACTTTTAGTCTAAAGTTTCAATTTCAGTCTCAAAACATATCATTCCACCTAAATCTGTATTCTGGACCACTGTGCAATGTTCTTGTATGTATGGAGCGCGGTGGCCTGGTGCGAACCGTTTTTGCTGACTGAGCAGGAGATTATGGATTCAATTCCAATCTGATTCGCATTATAAATTTATTAGTATCGCGATGCAAACAAACGATCACATCACTTACCCATTTGGTGAATTATTCTGATCTTACCCTTCCTACTAACAAAAATCCATCTGGTGCCAAACATGGGGATGCAGATGTAAAGTCGGTCTTTAGTAACAACGGTGGTCTGCGGTGCCATTGAGAGTGATTGACATGGGTCATAATCTTGGCAACAAGCTCGTCCCTACTACAAAAAAAGTCTTTTCTGGATCATATCCTGAAAGTGCACTCTGACATGTGTTCAGGTTGATTTCTTGTGGACGCAAACGACGTGTTGGTGGAATCGAAATTTAAGGCTGTTATTGAGCTCTTTGCAAAGATCATTTAATTTCGAATAAGTTGTCTAACTATTTTGAGAACACTAGCTTTAAAGTGTATTATGTTTGTTCAGAAATATTTCAATGCGCTTTACCGCTTTTCAATTAGATTCACTTGCTAAACACATCCCTAAGCACTAAATAGTATGAATACGACATTTGGATCACCTGCGGAATGAAAACGACATTTCTTATTCCTCACTGCATTGAAACCCCCCTAGAAGCCACCCTACTCACCCGTCCAAATTTGTCGATCCCAACGAGGAAAAACTTGACCGCCGTGATTCCGGTGGCACATTGAGCGCGCTGGATGATCAAACGGTAGTATCGCTGAAACGCTGCGGATGCTTCGTACCACGACAGTTCGTAGATGGCTTGTCCGACTGCCTGCGCTTCGGCTGTCAACTCCGATCCCAGATACGCATATCCGTAGGTTTCGATCATAGACAACCCGAACGGTACCATCACGTTGAACAGATTCAGGTTGACGTTCTGTAATGTGTAAATCCAGCCCATGAAACTCCACTATCAAATACAATGGTCAAACTTACCGTCGAGACGTAGAACATGACCAAACACCAGACCAGAATACAGGTCATAAACTGCATCGCCAGGGGAACATTGACTATCTCCTCTACCAAACCGGTTAACCTGCAATCAACGATCGATTTCAATTACACAGTAACGGTGACTGATTTTTCATTTTCATCAATTGCCGCTCTCACTCACTCGAATGCTTTCCTATGTAGTTTAACGATTTCGTCGATGCTGGATATCGTGACCTCCTGACCGCCGTGCTGCAATCTCCGAACTCTGATCGCCACCAGCCGGTAGGTTAACGAGTTATACCTGATCGCACTGAGCAGTGAGGTAACCTTAATCACCGACAGGTACGAACAGATGCAATAGGCCGTCAGCGAAAGCACCATGAATAGGTGGTAATGCACGAAATTTGTACGGATCTTCAATCCATAGAATCTGATCCAAGAAAGAGAGAGAAAATGAAACAAAACTATCAATGTTAGCCGGCAGCTTTCGAAAACTGCTGCTGTTGGTTTTACTCTTGTTCCATGGCAAGTTCGAACTGTAGCAGTTTCGATCCATTACCAACGGTGGTGCCGAAGTAACGCACATAGCTGGTACCCAATGCCGGAATGCAGTAAATGAACGGTCCGAAGCAGCAGTAGGTGAAGTAAAACTTGGAAAATTTGTTGAGTTTGGAATTTTGTTCTCGAATCTGATCGTAGCAATCCTTCGATTCGTCGTCGTCCGTAACTGTGAGTGAAAATAGAGACTCATTCGATTGAAATTAGTTTGATTCTTTCGAAAGTTACCTTGCTGGATGATTTCACTCAAAAGTTGAACCATCCGTTTGAAGGATGGCAGCTTCAGCACCAGTAATGCGGCCGAAGCGTAGAGATTGACCTGGAACAGCAACTCGGACAGGCCCTTGATGATGACATCGAACTCGTTGCTTCCCATGCCGAGTACGATTTTCGGAAAGATGATTATGAATGTTCCCCACCCGAAGGCGAGAAGGAACCGATGGAAGCGTCCTTGTGGACCCACCAGTCCTGTCAGCTCCATCATCCGAAGTTGAAAGCGCATGACCTGCAGTTCCGGGGGTAAGCTTCGATTGCGTGTTGGTTCCATTTTGATCGGTTGCTGTGGGTGGTTTGGAGTATTTATAAAACGCAAATTAAACGTTCCGTAATCGATTCAACCGGGGAGAATGTTTCTTTTATCGGAGGTGATTGATCGGAATGAATAATGTAAAGTTTGACGCGTTAGATGAAAAGGAGGATTTTTCGAGTGATTTATATTTGTTGTGTCTGATGATTTATTTTGTTAGATATTTTCAATTTGGAACCAAACCAAATGTCTATGTGTATATTTGATCAAGAATAATCATGAGCCATAATGCAATACCCTTCAAAAGAAAGAAGTGTTCCTTTCATGCTTCCTTAAATCAAAATACGCTACTGAAGGAAATTCTTAAATAATCAACTATTGTGATCATCGTGTGATTTAGTCGTTTTGTTAGGCAAGTGCATAATTACAGAACATGAAAGACACCTTCACTGTAGAGACAGCTCTGTTGGTTTAATCTAATTTGACTTTACAAAGAATATACATATTTTATTTATTTTTTACTAGTCGAAACGATTTGAATTTCTTATTTTAAAACCGTTAAGAAGTTATAGACAATATTTACATTTTCTTAACTAAATCCTTCATTAAGAGTTTGCAGGAGAGTTATTTCAGGGTAATTTCCTAGAAAAGCCTTTAAGTTTTTTGCGCCCCGAAACTATTTGGGAATTTCATCAACATTCACTGGTAAAGGAAACAATAGCTGAAATTTCAAAACCTATCGACTAGATGCTTACGTCAGATGGCGACTTGAGTGTGTAACAATCCATAGAACCGTTTCTGTGAGCGAAACGGTGATCGTTCCATTTGCCTGTGGTGGCGAGGGGAAACACCGATGAGTTTGGTAAAGGGAATGCTTGATCCGCTCATACCTTCCTCAAAATTGTCCTTCTTTCCTGTTTTCATACTGCCGTACTATAATGGAATTATCAACTCTATACGTTCACTTCCTCACACAAATCTAGATAGATTTGGAATTAGGGCGTAACAGCTTTTGTAAACAATGACTTCTATCGACAATTTCTAGGAACTCAAGGCACACCCACGCAAACCAACATAACCGTCGGGTAGGGGAAGCCTTCCTCTACCCGATGGTGTTGTTGATTTGCATTGGTGAGCCTTAACTTTCTAGCAATCATCGAAAGAAGTCATTGTTTACAAAAGCTGTTACGCCCTAATTCCAGCTCTATCTAGAAATGTTCACCTAATGTCCGATATTGACGTTAAGCATATTCAACTATGTTTTGCAATTGATGGACTATTTTCAGAGCGTAAAATTATTCGCAATCAGCCTGCGACAGTGCCGCATCCCACAGTAAACAAAGGAGCAAACACAAACAATCGGTCGCTTACGGAGAGGCGACCTATGGCTTCCGTCGCTCATTTTATAGAAGTCGAACTGAATGATCTTTAGAGGCAGTGTATTCAAATCATTGGTCAGTAATCAGCATCAAATTACAACCGATGGTCACAAGTAGTGCATCTTCATTCAAACACATAATGTAATTATAGAAGATGACATCCATAGCCGCTGAGGTCTAGGACCATTAGGTTGAATGGGTCATGAGTAATTTGGCAGAGAACTTAGACAGAACTTAGAGCATTCTTTGTAACAATTGCAACACTCTGAAACTTCGAAAATGTTCCAAAATCTTTGTCTGAGAAGGGACAAACATATATGAACCCAACATGAATTATTCAAGAAATGCCTTTTATAAATTTTGAACTTGAATACAGGAGTTCAGGATTTTTGGAAAAATATAAAAATTGAATCTTTGGTAACAGTTTTTCATAATTCTGAGTCTTTGAATAATTTTAACAATCTCATTCTAAGGTAGTCAGGCTCATTTTCTTATTTGATGATTGGCAAATTGGAATCCATGATTCTGAACCTTTGAACAATTTGAAGACCATAGGCGTAGAACATGTTTTTTAGAATTAAGACTTTGAAAATATATGAGAGATCTCGCAAATAGGAATACTTGCAGATGATTAATTTTTAGCCTTTGATTTCTTATAGCAAATTTCTCCTTCTCTCAACCATGAGTAGTTCTTCTGAGTTTCAAAATGTTCGTCTGATGATATATCTACACAGCAAAAAATTCTGAATTTTAATTGTGATGTAAACATTTATTCACGTAAACTTGTATTTCATTTCACGCAAACGAGCAACTTGTGAGTAATGTTGTTTACAAATATGTGCTTTTGTATACAATATTTGCAACATTTATCAGAACTTTACACGATTTATAATGTAAACTTAGATGAGATGTGACGCTCTTTTTATGTGCATCATATTGAACAGAAATTTACACTTCTTTTCCGAACTGTGTAGCTTCTTTGAAACAATAACAATATGCTGTAAGCATGGAGTTACATTTGAAAAGCGTGAAGTTGATGTAGTTTCCGAGATGTGTGCTCTAGAAAATTTGAAGTCCGTCATCATGTCAGCTATATTTGGACCCATCACACTTTTCAGGTGAATAATACGTGTTTTGGGGGAGAGATTACATTTGAGTGATTCACATAGAAATCAATTGATTTTCACGTAAATTTTATCGGACTGTACGATGATCTTCAAATTGGCATAACTAAAAAACGACGCGGATTAGCAAATAAATGTTACTGGATTTTGTAATAATGATAAAGTGAATTGGTGTTAGACTATAGATATATATTTCGATTTAATTGAGTAATCAAATTATTGCATCCTAGGAAAAAACACTAATTTACATAATTCAATAATTGGCACTGATGATCTCGTTCGTCAATTGTTGATTGTTAGCACCTCGAACAATCCGTTCCCGTGATCTGCAATTTCATTTTTAAATTATAAATGAGTGTTAATTTATGAAAATTATAAAACTTACGCTTGAAAACATGAAGAAGCCTGGTAATTCCAACTCGTCCAACAACGACGAAAGGGCACTTTCTTCTATCGCCATTTTTGAATTTCGAATACGACAAGAAATTGTTCATACCATGAAATGAAATCACGAAAAACTTACTTGAATTTCACTTAACCTTAACCAGCATGACATGTGGACTGGTCCAGTGAATCCAGTGGAATTCATTACTATGACATTGCATTTTATGTGCGGGATTCCTATTTTGAAGAGCTTACCTGAATTTTCAGGTAAAAATTACTTTTACCGTTGGTTCAATGTATAATGTCAAAACATGATCTAGGAAAATTTTCAAGCTCTCGATATTTGTTCAAAAGCCAGGCATTTTAAAAATATTTGACCCCCGGTAGCTTGAGCATTATTTGTCCAAACATCGAGAAAAAATCATTTCACAGATTCTTGAGTTCCTTTTTAAGTCCATTAATTTGTATTGTATTTTTCCCATACTAATACAAAAAATCCAGATCCGGTTCTTAAAAAAAATGTATTCCTAAATCTCAAATTTTTCACGATCGAGATTTTAAATCCTTGAGGCATTCAATTTTGTTTTATGTCCGTGATCATTCCATCTGGGAAAATTTTCCTCGTGCCGTAATAATAAGATTTTTTCTTAAACTGCGATCTAGTAAAGTTGTCTTGATCCCAGAGTTATGATTCTTTTTCTATGTTTGAGGTGTTACAGAAGATTATATTCTTGGGAGGAGTGGAGCAAAGTTAAAAGACAACCAGTTCTTTATAGCAAATACAAAGAAGAGAAGGATCTTTTATTAATATACTCATGTCTAACTTATATCTATATACATTTAATTCTAGACTGCATTACTTCATGTTGCTAAATGCATCGGAAGGATATGTATGATCCTAGATCTTCAAAAATTGCTGTCCTAGAATTTTAAAAAATTGTCTAAAATCGATACTTGTGAGGAAAGTGAGGAAATGGAGATTAGAATTGGACTGTGCTCCTGCTTATTCAATTCATACTTATTTTTTTATAGCAAATTTATGTGATCTTTAAATCAAACTCAAATTTGTTTTATTTTTAAAAAATATGAAAAGTATCTTTCCGATCAATAAATGTCACTATTGGTCACTTTTTTAATGGTTGAAAGGTCACTATTTGGTCACTATGTTCGTGATTTTAGTCACTAAAGTCACTACTACATATTACATCACATACCCACTACCAGCCTTGTAGGTGCTCATTTTCTAAAGGCGAGGAATCGAAAACCAATGTAATGTTAGGTACTCTATTCTGAAATCCGTGAAAGGGAATCTTCTATCATGTAGAATAAAACGTCCAATGTAACACTCATTGATTATGTCGTTGAGAAAAATCGTCTAATGCGCTGCGTCCTATGTGATTTTTTCTCTATATTATAGCATGAAATTCAAAGTAAAATTGTGATTTTTCTTTCCTACTGACTACGGTAAAAACAGTATTGCAAGATGTATTAAAAATAAAGATTAGTCGAACTTCAACTTCGACTGTATCATAATAGAAAAAAAAAACTTCTTTGATAGTAACACGTATTAAGTAATAAATTTTGATTTGTTACAAAAGCGAAAACGACGCAAGAAAACAAAAACATGACATTTTCGTAGCACGGCCTACTTTGATCCTACCAACTAAAAATGGGTAGGATTTCACGCATTTTGGCTATAACCGGGGTACAATCCTTATAATTGAGTAAACGGTATTTTCCGCCAATTTATAGTAACTTTTTCTCATGTTTCGAGTACTGTTTAATCAGCGCATGAGTAAGCATGCGTGTTTTTCTTCCTCTGATTTATCAATTTTTAATTTAATGCTGTTATGCTTGCAAAGTGTCGCGAAGCTTTTAAATCAATGTTGAAAAGTGCATAACAGAAACGCGTGTGAATTGTGCAAGATGAATGAGATTCAAAGCTCTTGCCGGGTAGCATGAACAGCTGGCTTGTGGGGCACGACGCAGAGGGTTGCCATACATTCAGTTTCGTTCTATTCTGCTAAGTTTCCCGAAATGTGCAGTCACTGGGGATCGTCGTCGAGGAGATTTGAAAGGTTCATCCATTCAACATGACGGAAGAAGCAAAAAAAGATAAGTTTAGTTCATTTCG